CTAATGTAACTAACGTCACCGTCACCGGCGGCGGGGAAAACCTGATAAACACACTGCATGATCTTGGTCAAGTCACCACCTCTCTGGGCCTCAGCTTTCCTCATCTGTAAAATAAGGGGTTGGACTAGATCCCGTTGCTATGAAACGAATAAAGCATTTATTAAGTGCCTGTTATTTGCGGAGTACTTTCCTTGAGGTGGGGCCACTTCCTACTGGAGACCAGTTAATAGGATCTCAGATTTAGAGCTCAGAGGAATTAGGCCAACCTGCTAGTTGTCTGTTAGCTCTTTGATAACAGGAACTGTCTTTTGCCTTTCCTAGTCTCTCCAGCAATTAATTAATTAGCACAATATAGTGCCTGGCACTGAGTAAGCCATCATTAAATGTTGACCGAAGTGACTTGCCCAGGTTCACACAGTTGGTGTCTTAGGCAGATTTTGAAGCCGAGTGTTCCAGGCTCCAAGTCCAGGACTCTATTTGCTGTGTCAGGACCTTTCTCTCATTACTTTGTAATTATTTTGTATATCTTTTATGTGGTTTTTTTTTCTGTATGCATGTTGTTTCCTCTATCAGCTCCTTAAGTGCTGGGACTGTTTGAGTTTTTGTCTCTGCACCTGGTTTGGCACTGTGCCTGCCTGGCACATGGGACCATTAGCAGCGTCCTCTAATTCAACTGCCTAATTTTATAGATGAAGAAACATAGCAGGACTTTAATAAAGGCTTGTTGAAAGTGCAACTGAAAAAAAAAAGGGGGGGTAAACTGAAGAGAGCAACAGCATGACAGTCTATGTATGAGCTAGCCATGGAGTCAGCATGGCCTGGGTTCAAGTCCTCCCTCTTACTGACTAAATAGGCTGTGAGGTTCCACTCTCTCCTCTTCAGTCAATCCCTTCCATAGCTACCAAAATAATCTTCCTAAGGTAGAGCTCTGACTACATCACTCCCAAGTGCAAACACTTCCTATGGTTTCCTTTTGCCTCTAGGATAAAATTCAAACTACTTATCCTGGCATTTAAGTCACCACATTCTGGCTTCAACTTTATCTCTCACTATTTCACTATGTGTACTCCATGATCTAACTAAACTAAACTACTAGATACTCCCAAATATGTCTCTACCCAAGTACATTCATATGGGCTATCCCCCATGCTTGGAATTCACTCCATTCTTATGTTCACCAAAGGTGGGTGAGCAGTTCTCAACCGCCAAGAAGCTGTAGCATGCACAGCAGCCACAAACCAGCAAAACTGTTTTGACAGACAGGCTAAACCAGGCTGAAGGTAACCAACAGGCCTCAAACCCATCAGTGAGTTAGGGGGATGTCCACCCCAAGCACATGAAGACTTTACCCAGTGGAATGGGCAGATGAGAACAATTTGTTCCAGTGGCCATGAAGGTGGCTGAAGCAGGCACTAGGAGTGCTTAGGGCTCAGTCAGACATCAACAATCCCTAGGTCACTTACTGCATCTGGGGCAGTTGATGGTCTTCCCGACTTTTGTCTTGCAAGTAGAATTCGATGATACTGGAAGGGAGAGTGAGGCAAAAACCTTTGTGCAACTCTACCTTACTTAAATCTAATTCATGCACAAGTCAAGCCATCACCTGTGATGTCATTGGTCCTTTTCCAAAATGAAGGACAGACAACACGTGACTAAGCAAATCACTTTCACTCTCCCTGTCCCATGAAAAGACTGTAATTACAGCTGCAGAACTGAAGCACATGGACTTTGGTAGAGGGTATGCCCTAAATAAATTTACAGGTCTGATCCCTATTCGCCATTTCTGCTTCCTTAACCTCCCACCCCCCAAAGACTGAATACCAGAAATATTTAGTTTTGTCTTCTTGGCAATCTTGTGAGGTAGAGGAAGAACAAGAGTTATTCTGCTCTGTTTTACAGAGGGAAATGGTGGCAGAGAAAGTTTTTAAGGGGACTTTTCCAAGATTATAAAGAGAATATTGTGATGTTTATTATATATTGTATGAATTAAAACTGACTAAATCTATATGCTGACTCCTAGCTGTGACCACTTCAATTTGAATTCAACTTAATAAATATTTACTGAGTTTCTATACTTGGTGTAAGGGAGACCAAAAAAAGGGAAAATATTGAGAGTTGGATAGGATTGCAGAGGTTTTGCAGATAAAGAAATTGGGTAAACTTTGTATCATGGAAAGGATGTGAAACTAGTTTCACTAAGTTTCATTTCTGTGGGAGTTTAATCTGAGGAACTTCCTTTGAATTCCTCCTCTGTTACTTACTACCCATTTGATTAGGTAAATCATCTGAGCTATGTGACCTTGGACAAGTCACTTAATCTCTCTGTGTCTTCTGATCTTAGCAGTTTCTTGATATGTAAAAGGAGGTTAATGATAGCAGGGTTGTGGTGCAAAATTTAAAGCACTATATAAATACTATTATTGTCATAAAACATATAAGGGAAGAGAGGGGAAACTAAATCCCCTCTTCCTCACATAGTATTATGTATTTGAAAATTTACATACCACTTCATAGCTGTAGTCAGCTTACATTAGGAGCTGTTATATTTAAGAAGCATGAGGTATGTCCTACTTTTGAAAATTTTCAATAGATAAACACAGGAGGGCTTTTCCTTACCACCAGCAAGAGAAAGCTTGCTTTGAGTACACTAGGGAGCCCCAGGAGAAAATGAAATGAAAACTCTAACACCTAATTTTGTCCCTTACTGATTCATCCCCTCTCTTCCTTCCTTCCTCCCCCTCAGTGTTGTCTCTGAAGCCTCCTGACCTCAAGATCTCTCTGAAGCACCTGGGCACTGGCCCAGCTGTGTTTTCTACTGCCTTTGGAAAGCCTCTCAGTAGATTGATTAGGCAAGGATCTAGGCAAGATTTTTATATTTATATACACACATATACATATATACAAGTTTTATATGTATGCATACATACATAGGCATATATACATGATTTTTATATATACTTATTAATATTGCATATAGGTAATACATATTATATTATATATACACATATATACACACATACATATATCATAGTTCTTTTAGGAGCTTCATAATTCTAATTTAACCCTCATATTTTATTTCTTTTTTTTTTTACTCCTACGACAGCTTTGTTGGGTAGTAATTAGTTACCAGTTATTCAGTTTATAGGCTGTGGCAAATTTTTTGAGAAATAGATTTATATAAAAGTAGGCTTAAAAAAAAACAAGCACTTATATAAAACTTTGTTTAAAGAAAAAAACAAAAAAAGAATACCTGCAATTCTTTTCTCTAGCTGTTATACAAGACAGACTAGACATAAATAGCATGCTGTCAAGCACAATGAAAAGAATCAGTATAATATAGCTATCAGCTATGCCTAGGGTGGGGCAAGAGGGGCTTTGCCCAGGGGCATAGACAGTTCTAACCCTCCATACTTCCTCTGGTGAGGACCACATCCTAGGTGAGCTGCCCCTAATATATATGTAATCATATGCCTATTGTAAAAACCCATATCCACATAATTTTTCCTAGTCCATCTTCCCCATGCTGGGTAACAAATGGCTAGAATAAGTCAGAACTACAATCAGAGAAGTGCTCCTTATTTCTGAGTCTGGTCCACAGGCTTTCACCAGGGGTTTAGTCTTTACTGGTTTACAGAGTTGCTTTTCTCTTCTTCATTATCTGTGCATTTCCTTTCATCTTGGAGACTGTAACAAAAGATGAAAGATAGAGGGGGGAAGGGAAAAAGGAAGAAAGAGAAGGAGGGGATGGAGAGGGAAGTGAGAAGGGGGAGAGGGCACCAGGTAGTAGGCAGAAGGAAGAGAAGGGAAGTGGGAAAATGGGGAGAAGAGGAAGGAGAGGAAAGGATGGGAAAAGAGAAGACGGGAGTGGAAATAAGGGAGAATAAGGGAATGGGTTGAAGGAGAAAAGGGGAGCAGGAGGATGGAAAGGAAAGTGCAAAGAAGTGAAGGGGAGGAAGAGAATGGGAAGTAGGGAGAAAAGGAGGAGGAAGGAATGAAAAGAAGGGGGAGGAGTGCTGTCCCTCTATAAATTATTTCCTATTTATAGATTGCTTTGTATATATGTGTTTGCATGTTGTCTCCTTCATTAAATTCCTGAGGACAGGAACTGTTTTTTGCCTCTTTTTGTATCCCCTGGGCTTAGCACAGTGAACTGGCACTTAGTAGGCACTTAATAAATGTTGATCAATTAATTGATTGGGTAAAAGGGGAGAAAAGGAAGGAGAGGATGGGAAGGGAGAAAAGGGGAGTGAAAAGGGGGAAGCAGAAGTGAATAGGTAGGAGGAAAAGAGGAAGAAGTAGATGGAAAGGAGGAAAGAGGGAAGGAGTGAAGAAGAGGGAGAGGAAGGTTATGAAAAAAGAGGGAGAGAGAAGTGGGGGAAGGAGGAGAAAAGGAAGGAGAGCAAGAGAATGGGAAGAAAAGGGGAGTAGAAATGAAGGGGAAGAAAGTAATGAGTAGGAGGAAAGGAGAAAGGGGATGGAAAGGAGGGAAGAGGAGAAGGGAGAGGAAGGGACTGAGAAGAAGAGACAAGAGGAGGAGGAAGGGAATGAAAAGAAGAGGGGAAGGGAATGAAAAGAAGAGGGGAAGAGAAAGGGAAGGAGGGAAATAGGGGAAAGGAGAGAAGACAAAGGAGAGAAAGACAATGGGAAGGGAGAAGAGTGGAGTGGAAATGAAGGGGAGGAAAAAGGAATGGGTAGGAGGAAAGGAGTGAATAGGAGGGAGAGGAAGGGAATGAAAAGAAGAGGTGGGGAGGAGAAAAAGGGAGCTGGGGGGGGGTGGATAGAAGAGGAGTACTAAAAATAGTCGGTGATTCATCGATGGCCTATCACCCCGCAGGGCAGTTACATAAAGCCGGGGCCGGGCCCCGCCGGGCCTCTCGGCCTCTCCGGCCGTAGGAACTGAAAGTATCTAGGTCAGGGTTGTCACACCTAACAGCGTCCCCCTAGAGCGGGCCGGCGGGCGGGCTTAGCTGGGCCCCCGAGGCGGCGGCGGCGGGGCGGGGGCGGTGGCGGCTGCGAGGGGAGCCCCGGGGGGCGGCGGGCGGCGGGCGTACGCACCCTCTCCCAGCTCTCGCTCGCGCTCACTCGGGGCCCATGGCCGTAGGGAGGCCGCGGCGGGGGCGCGGGCAGGGGCGCTGGCGGGCGCGGTGCTGACAGACAGCCGAGCCTGGGGCAGGCAGAGGCCGCGGGAGCTGCTGCTGGCTCGGCTGAAGGGCTACGGGGAGGAAGTGGAGGCCCCCGGGGGAAAGATGAGCGCCCAGCTGGAAGAGAAGGAGCAGCAGGAGAGGCTGAGGGAGGCCGCCGCCCTGGGGGACATCCACGAGGTGCAGAAACTGGTGGAGAGCGGGGTGGATGTGAACTCCCAGAATGAGGTCAACGGCTGGTAAGTGGCCGGGCCGGCCGTTTGGCCTCCCTGGCGCTGCCCAGCCCGGGCCCTTGCATGCGGGAGCCATGGCCCCCAAACCATAACCGACCCCGCTGTACCCAAGGTTGGTCGGAGTTTGGGGTCGGGGTCCAACTCCAAGATCCCGCCCCACATCTAAATCCTATAGTCCCTTCTTGGGGCTGCTTGGGGGATGTAGCCATGGCCCTCTCCTCCCCAATTCGGAGCCCTTTTAACCCGACCTTTCCCACTGTCTGTACAGCGCGTAGCCCAGTGCGTGGCACATAGTAGGCGCTTAAATAAATGCGTCTCCCCCTTCCTCGGTATATAGTCTATATCCCCTCTTCATAGATCTCCTCTCCGAGGGAGACTGCTTCAGTTTTCCCTTTGTATCCCCAAGCCGGGGCATATTGTCTTTTGTTTGGTAAGCGCTTAATAAATATTTGTTGAATTTTGTAGCAGCCAATCCTACAGGCCTGTGGTGGAAGGAAGGGAGGAGGTGAGCAGCAGCCCTGGACCTGAAGAGTAGTCAGAGGTTTTCATTCTGAGTTAACTTCTCTTCTCTTCTCTTCTCTTCTCTTCTCTTCTCTTCTCTTCTCTTCTCTTCTCTTCTCTTCTCTTCTCTTCTCTTCTCTTCTCTTCTCTTCTCTTCTCTTCTCTCTCTCTTCTCTCCCTTTCTCTTCTTTCCTCCCAATCCAGCTGTAAAGGGTCTGGGAAGTCATCTTATTTATATGGTGGATCTCATCCCCATTTGAGGCTTGAATTCTTTTTCAGAAGGTACTTCAACAGTTATTAGACTCCATGAAGAGTAAGTAGTGAAGCTAAAAATTAATTTTATTTTATTTATTTATTTTTTGGTGAGGCAGTCAGGGTCAAGTGATTTGCTTAGGGTCACGCAGCTAGTAAGTGTCCTGTGTCTGAGGTCGGATTTGAACTCAGATCCTCCTGACCCCAAAGCTAGAGTTTTATCCTGCTGTGCCACCTAGCTGCCCCTAAAAGTTAATTTTAAAGAAGTATGATTTCCCCCCCAAAACACAAGAGTAGTGGGTTTTGTAATGAAGTTCTTTCTTTTCTCTTTCTTTCTCTCTCTCTCTTTGGTGAGGCAGTTGGGATTAACTGACTTGCCCAGAATTACACAGGGAGTGAGTATTATGTGTCTGAGGCAAGATTTGAACTCAGGTCCTCCTGATTGCTGGTCTGGTGCTCTATCCACTGGGACATCTAGCTGCCCCTTGTAATGAGGTTCTTTTACTAAATTATCCCACTGCAGCAGTAATTTCCTGTTGTTTTCTGAGTGATGGATTCTTCCCTTTCTTTACCAAAATGGGGTTTTCATAGTAAAATTTAAATTACAAAGTACAATCCAGGAAGAAGTTTATTAAGACCAGAGATTTAAAGCTGGAAGGGACCTTGCAGGTATCTAATATAGTTTTCTCCTTTTGTGATGAGACCTAGGAAGATTAAATGATTCATCCAAGGTCATGCAGGTCTTTTGGCAGAGCCAGATTGAACCGGTGTCTTCTGGCTCCAAAATCTTTCTGCTGTACTGTACTCCCCTCTCTACTTCTTGACTCCCTTTGACCCAAATATAAGGCATTTTCCTCAAGTTAGATCATAGATTGAGTTGAAAGGGATCATCTAGTCATAAGCATACATCTAGAACTAGAAGGTTTATTTCAGCCTTGTTTTACAAAGGAAGAAATAGGTCCGGAGAGGTTAAATGATTTGCTTGAGGTGACTTGTTGAGGTGGCAGAGTCCTCATCCAGGTCCTCTACCTCCACATTTAGTGGGGGTTTTTTTCCGCTGTACCATGCTACTTCTTGAAAATCTCTTTATCGTGAAATTGAGTGGTGATGATTCTAAATTCTTCAGGATTCAATGAATATTTGTTGAATATCTGTGCCTTCAAGGAAGAATATCATAGTGAAATCTTAAGTTTTGATAGAATTTATTTAGTTTATATGAGAAATAAAATTTCTTTTGCTAGCTTTGAACCAAACCAACCTTGCAGATATTTTGAAGTAGAGAGCCTTTTTTATCAATCTCTCCACCCGTTTGGTTCAGTATTAAAAGAATTGGACCTTGGGGTTAGGACACTTGGTTCTGGTATTGATTTATTAAATAAATTACCTTATTTTTCTGAGCCTCAGTTTCTTCATCTACACAGTGAGGCCTAGATGATCTCAAGGTACTACAGATCCAGTATGGCACAGTAGAAAAAAATGCTGAAGTTAGAGGCAGAAGATTTCAGTTCAGATCCTGCCTCTGCTACTAACTAGGTATCTGACCTTGGGAAGATTACTTAAACTCTTTGGACTTCAGTTTCCTCAGATATAAAATTAGGATCTTGGTCAAGATCAATCTGTCAGACATTTATTAAGCGCTTATCACATTGCAGGCCCTGGGGATACAAAGACCAAAATGAAACAGTTCCTATCTTCAAGAAGCATACATTCTTTTAGGAGAAACTATGAATGAGTATCAATAAATACAAATTTTTGTACAAGATAATTGGCTGGGGAAGGAACACTGGCACTTGGGAATGGGATTGGGAAGGGCCTCATGTAAGAGGTGTTGCTTGAGCTGAGCTTTGATCAGAGCAAGTTAGGAAATCTGAGAGGAAAGTGTGAGGAGGGAGGGCATCTCAGGAATAGAGGACAGCCTGTGCAAAGGCAGGGGGATGGGAGAGGGAATATCATTCATGGAAAACATCAAGTAGGCCAGAAAAGAGTTTGAGTGATCTCTAAGTTTCCTAAGTTCTGCTTCCATTAGGTGGTGGAAATGCAGAGAGAAAAGTGAAACAATTCCTGTCCTCAAGGAGCTTAACATTTCCGGGGGGGGGGGGGCGAATGAACTAGGACATTATATATACAAAGAGCTACAAAGTCCTTCAAAAGTAATTTAAAGAAGGAAATGTTTTATGCTCTCTGTATTAGAAATAAGCCAGTTATGTGGCATGGCAAAAGAATACTCTGTATACATGATTTTCAAATAATTCTCCTCTCTGTATACTATTTTCTAGTACTTTTTAAAAAAAATTTTTTTGAACTGTGAATGGGATGAGCTCACCCATAAAATGGAAGTAGTTAGAAGAATGGATTAGAAACTAGAATCCAGCAATGTGCTATTTACAAGAGACACCCATGAAATAAAAGAGAGAGAGGAAGAAACAGAAGAAAATGAGATGGAGGGGAAATATATAGCCCTTAGCTCCTTTACTGTGGAAGCTACGTCTTGACTGTGGCTCCATGATACTTGTTTTTAAAATTAATTGATTATTTAGTTGGCTCCATTATATTTGATTTTTTTTTTTGGCTGCTTGACGTATTTTCTCTTTGACCTGGGGAGCTCTGGAATTGCACTATAATATTCTTTCAGGAGGTGATCATTGGATTCTTTCAGTTTCTGTTTTACTCTCTGGATCTAAGATATCAGGGCAGTTCTTGACAATTTCTTCTTCTTTTTAATATTTATTTCACTTTTATAAGATTTTGAGTTTTAAATTTTCTCTCCTTCCTTCCCTTCCCCTCCTCCTAAAGATGGTGTGCAGTCTGATATAGGCTGTACATGTATAATCATATTAAACGTATTTCCACATTGGTCATATTATAAAACAGAATTAGAACCAAAAGGGAAAAAACCATGAGAAAGAAAAAACCAAAGGGAAAAAAAAAGAGAAAATAGTATGCTTCAATCTGCATTCAGACTCCATAATTCTTTCTCTGGATGTGGATAGCATTTTTTAACATGAGTCTTTTGGAATTGTCTTAGTTTAACTGCATTGCTGAGAAGAGCTAAGTATATCAGTGTTGGTCATCATACAGTGTTGCTATTACTGTATACAGTGTTTTCCTGACTTCATTCAGCAGCAGTTCATGCAAGTCTTTCCAGCTTTTTTTCTAAAGTCTGCCTGCTCATCATTTCTTATGGAACAATAATATTCTATTACATTCATATACCACAACTTGTTCAGCCATACCCCACTTGAAGAGCATCCCCTTAATTTCTAATTCTTGGCCACCACAAAAAGAGCTGCTATAAATATTTTTGTACATGTAGATCCTTTTCCCATTTTTATGATCTCTTTGGGATACAGACTTAGAAGTGGTATTACTGGGTCAAAGGGTATACACAGTTTTATAAACCTTTGGGCATAGTTCCAAATTGCTCTCCAGAATGGTTGGATCAATTCAAAACTCCACCAACAATGCATTAGTGTTCTAATTTTCCCACATCTTCTCCAACATTTATTATTTTCCTGTTTTGTCATTTTTGCCAATCTAAAAGGTGTGATGTGGTACCTCAGAGTTGTTTTAATTTGCATTTCTCTAATCAGTGATTTAGAGCATTTTTTCGTATGACTATAGATGTCTTTAATTTCTTCATCCAAAAACTGCCTGTTCATGTCCTTTGACCATTTATCAATTGGGAATGACTTGTATTCTTATAAATTTGACTCAGTTCTCTATATATTTTGGAATATATCTTTATCAAAGATACTGGCTGTAAAAATTGTTCCACAGCTTGCTGCTTCCCTTCTAATCTTGGTTGTATTGGATTTGTTTGTGCAAAAAATTTTTAATTTAATGTAATCAAAATTATCCATTTTGCATTTCATAATGTTCTCTAGCTCATGTTTAGTGATTTCTTCCCTTCTCCATATATCTGACAGATAAAATATTCCTTGCTCTCCCAATTTTTTTATAGTATCACCCTTTATGTCTAAATCGTGAACCCATTTTGACTTTATCTTGGTATAAGGTGTAAGATATTGATCTATGCCTAGTTTCTGCCATGCTATTTTCCAGTTTTCCCAGCAGTTTTTGTCAAATAGTGAGTCCTTATCCTAGAAGCTGAAGTCTTTGGGTTTGTCAAAAAGTAGATTTACTATAGTCATCAGCTACTGTGTCTTGTGTACCTAACTTATTTCACTGATCCACCACTCTGTTTCTTAGCCAGTGCCAAGTAGTTTTGATGATTGCTGCTTTATAATACAATT